CTAAACCCAATAATAACATTTTCTTCACTTATCAATATAACCCGAGGAAGGCTGGCAAATATGCCGGCTTAAACATTGTGATCGAAACTGTCAAGATGAGGATACTCGCCCAAATTATTGCAACATTTCACACCACGGTTATAAACCTTGGCAGTTGTACTAAGAAATGATATATAGCTTCGATGATTGTTATTATAGTAAGGAAAAGAAGAAAAAAAATCTTTATCCTGGTTAGTATTCAGGTTTTGTCCCTTTTTGTGTGTGTAAGCAATATATCTTGGTTAGTTGAAAACGTACATCTCGCGCATGCGCGCGCGCGTGCACGCACGCACACACAAACAAAGGCACGTGCTTGTGCAGAGTTGCACAGTTCCGAAGAATTATTTATACTTCGAGCACGCACACACACACACGTTACCTTTTTCAGAGCAATTACAAGCAAGACTGCTTTCTTTTATTCCATACACTTCCAGTAATATATCTGAATTCCCATCACAGAGGAGAAAAAAAAAACAAAAAAAAAAAAAAAACGAGATAGATATTTAACTCCCAAAAGAAAGCTGAACATTTGTCTGCATACACGAGAAAGTTTAACATCGAAATTATGAAATCTACCGATTTGACCAAATGAAGTGAAATCATTTTTTTTTTTTTTAATAAAGCCAGGAAAATATTGTAGGAACTTAAATGTAAATGAAAGAACACTTTTAAAAGTTTGAGAGATAAAGAAAGAAATATTTCCGACGGAAAGTGAAGGAAAAAAGCAGCTAAAAATATTTTAAAAGAAAAAATTAGGATCACAAAAGAAATTATATATCAATTCTTTTTTTTTAGCAAAATTTGTTTAACTGTATATAATTCAGCTTTGACATTAAAAACATCAACAATAATAAAAATGATAATGATAATGAATATATATATATATATATATATATATATATATATATATATATATATATATATAGTCATCCACAAACAGACTGTTTCGCTGTTTAAAAGCTCATCACTGTGACTAGATATCCGATTGCCTCAAACAAGGATCGAAACCCGACTGATTTATTATCAGCCAAGGATTCTATCCCTAATCCTCATGAGTACAGCCCACACCTTACGAAGGGCTTTATGTAAAATGTGTGTATGTGTGTGTGTGTGTTTAATTAGTCAGTGGAAAGTGTCATGATGCCATTTCTAACCTTAGGTTTCTGGGCGGGACCCGGAAAGAAATGTGTACACACCAGAAATCAAAGGAAATAACATAATCGTAATAATAAAACAATGTATAAATAAATGCCTAAAATAAATAAATGCCTGAAATATTAACATAATAAAAAAATATGTGTAAATAAATAATAACGGTAATATTAAGGAAACATTTTGCATTCATTGACCGAACAGCCATGCTACTAGAGTTCGCCTTTTTTTTTTAACTCCCTAGCCCTCGGCTTTGTATCATAGTGTAGTATCTGTCTCCTTATCTCACATGGTAATAGATAGTATTATTAACAGTTTCCTTATTCACTGACCGAGCAGCTAGTACTACATTTGGTTAAAATTTATAAAATCTTTTTATGAAAACAAATTCTCAAAAGAAGAGGTTTCTTAAGTCCACTAATGGCTCTTTCCAACATTGATGGGGGCTTCGTTTATTTTGAATTGAAACTACAAATACGTTAAGGATATTTCACACTACAGCTGTCATTTTTTAAATGAGGATTTGAACAACAACAACAAAAAAAAAAGAAAGCAAATACACATGGAAAGTAAATAGAAAACAAAAAACAGTCACTAATATATAGCTCTATCTGTAGACACCAACGGGTATTTTCTTTGTGTCGATCGACAGTTCCAACTTGTCTGGCATAATTAAATCAAAATTAACTCTTGGAGGAAAAATTAACTTTAATTAACAAACTTTTAAGTTTTTAAATATTTCCATTCATTCAGATCTGCAAAAGTTGAAGCAGATGTTATATAAGTACGAGACTGGCGAGAAGGTCTTATCAATTTATAGTTGAGTTGACTAGATGTAACCGTAAGTTCTATGTTAAGAGTTTCTTTTCTTGCATGTCGCCCCTGTGAAACTCTTCCGGCTCGATGCTTTACAGCCAACTTTAAGCTTCAGAAATTTAAATGCAATATCAATCGCTATCTGTCCTCCTGATTACTCTTCTTTTGTTCTTGCTCAGTTTTTTAATTCTTCCACACCGAGTAACTCATTGTGTCTTAGTGGCTTTACTGCCTTGCTTGGAGTGAAATCGATTTAAAAACAAAAATGTAATTACAGTTCAAGTTTCTGAAGATTTTTTATGACCTCTCTCATATATATATATATATATATATATATATATATATAAATAATGTGTGTGTGTGAGAAAACATTTCAATGGAGGATAGTTATGAAGCATTTGACATTTGAAAGAACGAGAAACTTTTGTTTTGGCTTTGGGAAAGGCGGGAAATCGTCTCCTCCCTCCATAGCTATGGGTTAAATATCAGGATAGACAATTCTCTCGCGCCTTGGGTGGCCGCCAGTCTAGGAGAGAGCAAACTGAATTTTCCTAAAACGATGATTAAAAAGGAATCCAGAACAATCATCCCACGTCCTAAGAAGATGATGAATTTTGAACAAGTAAAATTTTAATAATAAGCAGCGCGTACGCAGATGATATATATATATATAATATATATATATATATATATATGGAAAACAAAATCAATTATTTTATGTAGCGCCCACGTCCTGAAATTTTGGACATAATTATTTAAATAAAATATATATATAAAAAATAAATGATGATGAATTTTGAACAAGGAAACGAAAAAAATTTGAAAACAAAAGGAAATAATAATATATATATATATATATATATATATTATATATATATACGAAGTTCGAAGTGCAACGCTTAAAGTTTCGTGGTTCTACCAACTCATTAGACACAAACCATTACGGTTGATTAAAAAAGAAAAAAAAAACACAATTTTTAAAAAAATCAACCATAATATTTCGTTCCTGATAAGTTTATAGAACAACGAAACTAAGTTGCACTTCGAACGTTATATATATATATATATATATATATATATATATATATATGCACACACACACGTGTGTGTGTGTGTTTGAAAATGGTGATGTTATTTCAAAGATCAGTTTGTTTGCTCAAGTAAGGAAAACAAAGGGTAGATTTCAATTCAAGCAGTTGTTAAGTTTCGTTCGAATATAGCGAATGTTAACTGAATTAATTAAAAACCTAATTGGCATGTATTAAATAAAGATTTTGTTTTAAAGAATTATAAATTAAGACCACCTGATATTAATGCACTGGTCTTTTGATATGAAGAACATACGCGCGTGCGCGCACAGTAGGGAATTTTAAAAACAAGTTAAAAGCCAACGTAAAGGTCATTCTAGGTGAATTATTATTATTATTGGGTCTTGTTACTGTTTTCAATAGTACAACACAACGTATTTCCAGAGTTGGACTTAATAAAAATCATTGAAATTCGGATCGGGAGAAAGAAAAGTAATCATTAGAAATAAAAATTTTAAGGAAGAAAGATACACTTTAATTATTTGTTGTTTTGTTTGTGTTGATGATAATTACATTTTTTGCGAGGCAAAATAAAAACACCTGTCACACATGCCAAATAAATACTATAACGAAAAGATGATGATGACTTCAAAATTAACATACTAAAAAAGTTTTAGGTGTTTTATCAACACATGTCAGCTTGTTTTTAAAAAGTGCGTAAAGGTCCCTAATCTTTGGAAACAGGTGGGGAATAATCCAGCTGTATTCTTTTTGGATATTATCAGGTGAAAATATAGATATAAAACAATTCTCTAGTTATTTGAATATAGATATTGGAGTTTGTGAGAGGGAAATATGGTAGATATAAAATAGTATATGTAATTTTTATCTCCTAGATTTATTTCTTGAACGCAGATACATAACATAACTTGTAGTTTGTGGCGTACTCACACCTTTTTTTCGTTTCTGATTGTGAGATAAGACATTATAAAAGGAATAAACAAACTAAACACCAAACGCACGCGACCATTCTTCGTTAGTATCCACTACTAACTATGTAAATTACATGTAATGAGTCGATAGATGCTATTAAACAGCTATTATATAGCTTTTTGTATCACAATAGATAAAAAACTCAAGTAGAAAATAAAAGATGTCAACGTTCCAGATGTATAACTTACCAGGTAAATACTTTTTTTTTTTTTTTTTTTTTACAAATGTAAAAAGTGACCAGGTCGCTACAAAAAGAAAGCCGAGGAGGAAGACAACAATGCAAAGCTTTTGTTTTAACTTTTAAAAAATGGTTTTGACTGTTTTATCGTTAAAAGAAAAAGTCTGGTAGTGAGGACTCAATTCTTTTTTTTAAGTTTCAGGTCAACATGGGGGAACAAATTGTACTTATTTTTATAGTGGCGAAAGGTCAACTAGTTAGAAATAATTAAATAGCGATTATTTTTTCTGCTAATTTTAAAATTAGGCTTAACGAGGAAAAATATGAGTAAAGAAAGATATTTAATTTATTTAGCATTTAAAACGAAGTCTTAAATTAAGACCGTTTTTAAAACTGTTTACTAAAGAAAAAAATAGAAAGAAAGAGAAAGTAGCCGACATATTTTTCTTTCTTTTTCAAAACAAAATGGGTAGCAGACAGAGGTTAGGGGAGTTTTTTTTTTTTTTCTTCTTTTATTTATTCTTTTCGAAAACTTAAACCTTACCTCACTTTCCTGGAGATTTTCTTTATTTTCGTCACCGTTGTGTTTATCCGTTTTCCCGTTTAGTAAACTTGGAAGAACAACTTCACTTTTGTTGTTGAAATTAGATTCCTTTCTCGCGATGTCGTTAATGTAGAAGTTAATAGCAGCTGTAGTAGACCTATTGTCGTCTTTTTTAACAATAACGGGTCCACCGTGGGCATTTACCACGTTACTAGTATCCGCTGTTACAACCGGGCTAGCCAGTTGAGGGATGGTGTCCGCCATTTTATCTAGGCATAAAGGAAAGCTGTTTTTAGCGATTAATTTCCCCACTCACTCACACAAACTCTTTCTCTATCCTTTAATCTATTTCTTTGTCACTTTCTTTCTGTTAGTCCTTCTCTCTTTCTCACTGTTTCTGTCTATCAACCTTTATTTCTCTCTCTCACTCGGTATCTCTATATCACTTTCCTTTCTCGTTTATCTCACTCTACACTTTTCTCTCTCTCTCACACTCTTAATTTTGTGTTTCTTAGTTTCTTTCTTTCTTTCTTTCTCACAAGACCACTTTTTCTTACTTTCTTTCTCACTCACTTTTTTCCCGTTCCCTCACTCACGAGCACTCGCCTCCTTTCTTTTCTTTTTTTTTCTTTTTTTTTCTCCTTCCTCACACAATATCTCTCTTTCTTTCCACTTTCTACGTCTCTCTCTCACTTTCGATTTGTCAGCAAGACTTGCCTTGCGTTTTGTCTCATGTGCGCGCGTGTGTGTGTGTGTGCGCACGTTTACTTTTCGCACACATGTGAGCGTAAGCGTGTGTGCCCTCGCGATGTACACATACGTTTTTTTTTTTTTTTTTTCTTCTTCTTTTCTTCCTTTTCCTTTTTGGTTCAGTCGTAATCCTTTGTTTCAAAGCGAAAGGTAAATGAAAAAAAGAATCAATTACAGGTAAAAAACACACAAAAAGTAATAATTGTCACAGTAGAGATACGTCATCACAAAGCACATAGAAAAACCGATCTTTTTTTTTCCAGTAGTAAAGCCCGGCTGATGTATATAACTACGGCTATATATATATATATATATATATAATATTATATATATATATTATATACGAATGTAATTGTATATTACATCAAAAGCTGTACCGAGTTTAACACTTTTGCTTGCAATAGCAGGATAGGTAGATACAGGTATAAAGCACTCCAACAGGTAAGAGTAGACAAATTGAATAATGTGGTGTACGTGTGTGCGTGTGTATAGATAACACATATATCTCTGTGTTTATATATCTATCTATATCTATCTATCTATATATATATCCATATATATATATATATATATCTCCCTATATATATATATGTATGTATGTATGTATTGGTATACCGAACCTGCTCGTACCTTCCTCCGTTGTATTTAAATGTTGTCTGGTCTCTTACTTGCACATCGTTGGAGCAGGTGGTTGTGATGATGGTTGCGGGTACACGGCGATGACGATGGAGTAGCAAGCAGCAGCAGTAGTAATGACTGCAGCAGCAACTCAAATAACGCCACTACCAACAAATGCAATTATATAATATATATATATATATATATATATATGTGTGTGTGTGTGTGTCGTGTGTGCGTGTATATACACGATTGGTGCCGAAAAGTTCTCGGCCCTACCAAATATTACTTTCTTCTTTCGGAAGGACTCCTTGGTTGAGCATATAACTTTTCAGCGCGTGCTCGTACAGAGAATGAAAGACAGAGAGAGAGAGAGGCAGAGAGAGACACAGAGAGAGGGGCTAGTTTCAATTGGTTTTAGTTATTAAAAGTACCAAAACAAAAGAAGTAAACTACTGAAAGAGAAATAAGGAATAAAAGAGAGAGAGAGAGAGAGAGAGAGAGAGAGAGAGAGAAGCAGAATGAAAAAAAAAATTTTTTTTCCTTTATTATTAGTAGCGATGTCGTTTGGCGTAAAATTAATAGTAGTAAATCGCAGTAGTTATCGAAAAGATCGTTCATATTTTTACAACGTACTAGACTGACCGTCAGCAAGTAGAAGATTCATTTGCGAAACTATAAATATTCTTTCGACGAGAGACTATTGGTGTTAGTTAAAAGGAACTTCGTTTTTAATTCTATTAATCATGTTAAAATCCCAGATCTCGCTGTCGTCAGTCCGTTGCTCGAACCACTGAGCTCGAACATTCAATTATCAAAGTCGATCTCGCCTAAGCTTAACTTACGGAAAAAAAACCAGGTGTGCATAAATATTATGTTACGCCAATCTTCCAGGTAAAGATGATGAGTCTGCCTATAAAAAAATAAACATTAAAAATAAAACCTCTTTCCTGTTTCTATTTTAAGGAAATTTTTATTTTTCGAAAAATCGCCAACCAAGCGCATTTTCATTCTTTGTTGATAGATTCAGAAACCTTTCGTTTGTTCGTCCTCCGCTCGATCCCTCGAAAGAATCCAGCAAGTGCCAAATAGACTCAATAGTTTATGCTGAGGAAAGGTGCGTGGATTTCACAACTAACGCACTGACCACTTCGTCTGAACAAAGAATATCATTTATTTGACCTTTAAACCTAAAACTGGGATCACATGAGTGTAATAATGAGCCTCATTGATCCGGCAGTTAGGACTTCTCAGCTGTAGTTAGGTTCCGTTCCGTATGCAACAATTCGCTTGGTCGAACCTGTAATTAACAAGTAGCCGTGATAACTGATGTCAGAGACACTTCCGATATATCTTTGAGGTAATTTTATTAGTAAAATACGAGAAACAATACAAAAAAAGAAATAAACACGATTAAATCACAGCTAACACACAGCTTAAATATCCATACCTGGTCTCAGGGCAAAGCCGGCAAACTGAAGCGTCGACGTTTATACCAGATGAGCTAGGGTTTCCATCTTCTAAATATTAAATACGCTTAAAGTGCCACTTGTTGCACGATGTAGTTGATAAAAGACAAAGTGTTCGGAGTAGGTGTATGTTAAACTTGCTCAAGGTCGCTTGAAGTCTCGAACCCAAGCTAACTGACTAAAGAACAGACGTTTTGATTAATTAATTCATTGTACTCACTTGTCACATTTCAACAACAGGCTTGAATCAATGGTAGAGCAAGCGAACGAGAAATCGCGAGGTCTCGCATCTGTTTCTAGTACCGGGATGTTGAGTTAGTTATTAGGAACTAACATGGAAAAGAGACAACATTGACGTGAAAATAAGTCAATGATTCCCTATGTGAAGCGGTCGGTCTTGTGCTTTTTTTAATATAAAGACATAATAGATATTCTTAGATATTACGTCGTGTAGATTTTGCAAGTGCAAAAAAGGACTGAGGCCTGCACGAAAAGTAATGTGTATGACATCCACACTGTTTAGGCACCTAAATTATTATAAGGTTCGAACCAGAAATATTGGATTAATAATGCAACGTCTCTACGAAATGAGCCATACACCTTACCTGCAATTAAAGACAATGCTACATAGTAACGATGCAATATTCAACATCCGTACAGGCTTACAGCCATATCACTTTGAAACACCGGTTCGCGTACGGTTAGGCAATGTCGAGCCCAGTCAGTACCTAAATGGGTGACCGCTTGAGAATACCAAGTGCTGTAAGGTTGGATGTGGGGGTGGTGTAATGGATAATGGCTCAGAATTGTTAATCGGAGAGCCGAGTTCCAATTCCAGTCGGGTTCGGTATATTTACTTACGGGCCAGTAACTCCAGAAATGTTATGAATCAAGCTTTTCTCCTTCCAGATATAGGTTAATTAGTGGGACTGTATCAATAAATCATTCTTATCTAAAACAAATTCTTACAATCTTAATTTTTTTTCTGATTTTAAGTAACCCGCAAAAGGTTGAGAAACCGTAAAAAATCAATCACTCAACATCCGAACAGTTACTGAAAGAAAATGCATAATCTAGATCAGTGGTTCTCAACCTTTTTTAACTCATGGCCCACTTTGAACCCAGAATGTTTCTATGGCTCATGAAATTCTTATAGCGTAAAAAATTACTTCCATTTTACATACATTATTCAATAAATATAGAACTATGTCTATTTATTGGACACACACAATTTCACGAGAATCTAAAATATTTCGCATCTCCAATGAAACAACCATTTATTATCAATATTTATTTAAAAACTTTTTCCTATATATGGCACAAAACAAAAAACATGCAAACAAAATTGATTTCAAATACATTTATTCAATGAGATCCTTGTCCTAGATGCATCTTTGCAAGTTTTTTCTATATTAGAATACATATGTATATCTAAATCCATATTGTTGCAACCTAGAAAGGGTTACTGAATGAGGAATAACCAAAACGAAGCTTGGAAATGAAATTATAATCTTTACAACATCAACAAAATACAATACTCGCCAGCGGCGTAAAGTAGGTAAACCACTGCTAGTGGTGGACTAAGACAGCATATTACGATATTTACCTGCCTCCCCGCGAGGTAAGCATGTAGCACAAGGCCAAATTTAATGTAGGGAAATCCAAGCCCGCTGGATCGGGTATCTGTCTACCACCCCGGCCGAGTCTCTGCCCTTCGACAAAGCCCCGTCCAGGTTCCTCTCTACCCGAAAGCAGAGGATTCGACACGGCAAGACCTACCCACAGCTCACACTGCCAGCGTAGACAGTATATCACCCCCACTTACAATAGTGTTCAACGTATTTATGAAGATTGGGACACTCCCATTAGTGTTCTTAGGTACGGTATATAACACACACACACACACACACACACACACACACACACACACACACACACACATATATATATATATATATATATATATATATATATATATTTTTAACATAATTAAAATACCAATTATTAAAAAGCCATTAATAAGAGTTTATGGATATGTCCACTTATAAACATATACCCTTTCACTATCAAAACGGTTAAATGTAACCGTCTCTTCTACTCAAACAGCTTCTTCTCTCGCACTTCCCGTCTGTGGAACTCATTTCCCGTTGATTGCTTCCCTGATGACTATAATCTTCAAATATTCAAGTGTAATGTCAATCGACATATGACATCCTCCGTCCTTCTCCGTATCTTTTCCTCAAACACGCCTCTTTACTCTTGTTCTCATTCCTCTTGCGTGCTAGTGGCACTTCAGCCTTGCTAGGGCGAATTGCTTTAAAATAAATACCGGTGTTTTCACAAAATCAGAGTTATAGCCGTAATGAGTAAGATTTTCACAAAACTGAAATGTTGTCATTTTCTTTCTATAGTCAGAAAAAAACGGTATTTTCAGTGCATGGATAATTAAAAATTATCCAAATACTAAGTATGTGGCCCCTATATTAGACCGGTAGCTAAGTAAAAACTACAAAATTTCTGTGGCCCACCTGAAATTTTGCCAAAACCCATATGGCCATAGGTTGGGTAACACTGATCTAGATTAGGGGACGGCACGCCCAGCAATTTCCAATGGCACGCAGCCGCAAATGAACTCCGAACTACAACAACGCAAAGAAAATATCAGGCTGTTTCAATTTGAATATATACTAATGTATATATACTCTCACAGACGCGCCGTCGCCTCCCTCTGTCTGTTCTACAAATACTTTCATGGAAATTGCTTCGAGGAGCTGCATTCGCTGGTTCCCAGACGTCATGAGTTCCAGCGCCTTACGAGGCTGGCATGCCGCTCTCACCCCTTCACTGTCGAAACTCCTAAATGTAGCCGTCTCTTCTACTCTAATAGCTTCATGTCTCGCACCTCTCGCCTGTGGAACTCCCTTCCCTTTTCCTGTTTCCCTGTGAGCTATAATCTCTAGCTATTCAAGTGTAATGTCAATCGACATCTCCAGTTGCCTTGATCTATCCACTACCCTCATCCTTTCTTCTATCACTCCTATCTGATCTTGCTCTAAATTTTCTGTAACCCCTTACGTCCTAGTGGCTTCCCGCCTTGCTTGGGGTGAAATGCTTAAAAAAAAAATTACTATATAGAATATATTGTAGAACAGGTATATTGATCTTGTAAAAAAAATACGTATGCTGTTGGCACACTGAATGGTCTTAAAACCCTAGGTCGGCATATAGTTAGCAAGAGGTTGCCGAACGCTGATCTAGATGCCCATTTCTAGGCTGGAATTTGAGATTGGTTATAAATGAATCCACATTTTTACCATCCGAGCCGAGAATATTAAATTGTCGACTGCTTTTTGAGATGTAACGTGCTGAATAGTTTTTTTCATGTGTTGTCGTAACTAACCAGTAACTAAGACTTATGCGTAATTAGACATGCTTCGTTAGTGACACGCGTTACAAAACGTTCAAAAATATTTTCCAAAGCATTAGTTAGCATGATGTGATACTAAAACTTCAGGTAACTTCAACAGTGCTTTGTAATCGACTGAATGTAGTACGGACTTTTGTCGCTGCTTTTGTGAGCAATGCACTACCACTTAATTTTTACCAGAAATCATTTTTAAATCAACTATCTGTACCACTTAGGACATACCCCGGAAGAAAGTCAGAGGTTACATCAGCCAAAAAGATAAGGTCACTTCTCTGAGCAAGTCAGTGTGTAAAAGACTTCTTTTATATGCCATGACGTTTCAGGACTTGGGCGATCACACTTCTCTCCAGCTTTTGAAGGCTTACGGCCTACTCACATTGAAACACCGGTTGGCGTGCGATCACCGAAGTTAAGCAACGTCGAACCTGGCCAGTACCTAGATGGGTAACCGCTTGAGAATACTAAGAGTTGTAAGCTTGGATGTACAGGAGGTGTAATGGATAATGGCTCTGAATTGTTAATCGGAGAGTCGAGCTCCAATTCATGTTGGGTTCGTTGTATTCACTGTGACATAACCCTCAATATTAACTGTTAAATCAGACGTATAATACATTTAGTAAGTGACGCGCTGTCTGTGTTTCTTCTTTTCATCTTTCTCTCTCTTTTTTTTTTTTTTTTGTTTTTGTTTTACTACCTATCTGGACTGAGTTTTGTTTCGGCTAAGAGAGGATCGAAAAGGAATTTGGGGTCGCTTGACAACAAGCAGAATGACCGCCTCAGAAGATGAGTAATAATCGGTCACCTATGCTCACGTGACATTACATCTTCAAGTGGAACTTTGGTATTATAACTTTAGTTTTCCCGATGAACTACAACGACAACAGTTCGTGAAACAAATAGGCTCTCATCATGCGATCTTGAAGAATAAGAAATACACCCACATACCTATTTCATTAATTGTTGTGTAAGGAATAAGAAAATTTAATCCCGGAGATCTTGGATTTATTTGACGGGTAAAGGATAAAGGAATATTGTACCCAAATAAATACAAATAAATTATTTTGCTTTCATCTCGGATGCAATCTAATTAACTAAGGGGGAACGGTACACAAACATTATTTACAAATTTTATATTTCACATTACGGAAGAAAGAACAACCACCTTTTGTGTGGATATTCTACAGCAAATTTGTTATTATGAACATTCGAACTCCAAATTCATAAAATCAGATAAGTGTTCTTTTATTAATTGTACGCCTGTCACTCCATACTTTTCATATATTTTTTTAATTTTCTATTTTGTGATATAAAATTTATTTACAAATGTTAATCTCGTGTTTGTTGTTCGCTGGTGCCTGTTCCTGTATTCCTATCTGAACGTACCCAACTTTTCTTGTTTCTTTTTTTTGAAACTAGGGTTCAAATCATTATGTTTTGCGAATTCTTAACACCACTTACGCGCAAATACCCTTAGTAAAGGTATGAAGCCACATCTTCTCGTACCAGATATGGGTTAATTCTTTTATTGCTGAACCATTATTACCCCAAAAGAAAATCTAAAAAACAATTTCTGGCTTTAAATAACCTGTAAAGCGTAGAAAACGAATCAATCAAAAAACCTACTCCTTGACTTATTTTTTTAGCTCTGAGTAACTCTTGCTACATTAGTACCCTGTTTGTCCTTCTTCTGCCACCCGTTTACTCAAACTTGTGTTCCCCTTGTTTCAGCTTTCTGTATGTGAGTATTAAATTCTCCAAACCATCCCTTCCTTATAATGTGTGTCTTCAATTTCAACTCTTTTCGATTGCTAGCAGTAGTTTCCTTGTAGTTCCTATTCAATTTATGTTATACCGGAACGTACCTATTCTATTGTAAATAGACTCTCCCACAGATAATAAGTAGTAGTAGTAGCAGTCGCCAGTGAAGCTCAGTGAGTTGTGTGAGTCAGTCGATGTCGGACATTAAAGTATGAGCCCCACAACTAGATTGCTGCGTCATTAACTATTATTGCAAGTTCCTAACGTTTTGTACGTCGAACCTAATTTAGGACCAACTTAGTGAAATACAAGCTTCCACTGTGAAAATTACTCTACAACAACTTAGAACTTTTTTGTTAATCACATGTAGAAACCTATCTCTGTCCATTCAAGTTTATCTTTATTTTTAACAAGATTGCCCAACCTTCACTAGCTTGATCTAGACGTCCCCAATATGCAGCCTACTAGTTAGGCGGTCTCTTTTGCTGACAACCATATATGCTCTCTTTTAGTTAATGGTTAGACTTTTGTTCTTCAAGCACATTGTCTATGAGTTATTTCATTTTTCTTTCTGAATCTGCCATCCACACAGTCTCATTTGCATATCTTACGTTAATGTTATGTCCTCAATAATAAATCCTGGTAGGATTTCTAGTTCATTTAGAAACATTTCACTGTATAATATAATAAGTGCGATGATAAAACTCCTGGCTTTCTTATTCCTTTTTCTATTCGTTTTTTAATCAACCCCGCCCTCAAGCAACGTCATATAAATACTAAGACTAAAGAGGTTAGTGAGAAGGGGAACTAAAACGCGAAAACGTTAGTGAGAAGAAAAGGAGAATAAAAAAAAACAATATTCAAAAAGACAGTAGATAAGAATTGACGTTACATTTAAAATTTTGTGGTTTTACCTCATGCAGATGAAACTGCCGGATCAATGAGGCTCATTATTACACTCATGTGACCCTGTTTTTAGATTTAGAGGTCAAATACGGGATATTTTTCGTTCAGACAAAGTCATCAATGCATTAATTATTAAATGCACGCACCTTTCCTCAGCATAAACTGTTGTGCCTAATAATATAGTTGGCACTTGTTGGTTTCCTTCGATGGTTCGAGCGGAGGTCGAACGACCGAGAGGTTTCTGAATCGATCAAAAAACAATAACAACACGCGTGGTTTGCGATTTTTGGAAAAATAAAACTTTCCTGAGAAAAGAAGTTTTAAAGTTGATTTTATAGGCAGGCTCGCCTTCTTTATCAGGAAGATTGGCGCAACATAATATTCCGACACGCTTTTTTGTTTTTTTTTTCCCGTAAGTTAAGCTTAGGCGACTTCGATTTCTTTATTAATTGAAAGTTTAAGTTCAGTTGTTCGAGCAATGGACTGGCGACAACGAGATCTGAGATTTTAACATGATTAATAGGATTAACAAAATCCGTTAACACCAACAGTCTCTCGCCTAAATAATATTTATGATTTTGCAAAAGAGTCCTCTATTTGTTGATAGGAAAGCAAAAAGGCAGAAAAGAGTTCCACACTTTAGAAGTGCAAGAGAAGAAGCAGTTAGAATTGAACTTACGGTTGCATCTGTTTCAAAAGTAAAATAATGTGACCTACATCCTTGTGCAAATTAATTGAAACAAAACGAATAATTCCGTTATTATTTACTTTTTTTTCGTATATTTCCAATGAAACATGACCCAGTGCACATGTTCGTACTTCGTATGGCCATTCCATGAAGACGTTCCTTGTAGATTGGCCACAGATTCTCGATTGGATTTAAATCAGAAGAGTTTACGGGCCAGTCTCTAGTACTTTGATTTACTCATTGGTGAGGCTTGCCAGTGTGTTCGTGCAAAGTTACAATTTTCGTACGCTTCCTTGGAGTAAGGTCCATTGCAGACAATGGTTGTAGGACAACTAATCGACAGTTGGGACAAAAGTATCTGGGTGTGATGAAAATCTGATGCAATCACGGATGACGCAATATTTTTCAAGGCCAAACAAATTTCATCATACACCCCGAAAATAGATTCACACCACTGCAAATGACCTAATCTGAGGAAAAAATAGAAATCTATTATACCTTGTCACTCCAGTAGGCCTAAAACTGACCGTATAGTAAAAGAAAGGAAACTAAAGTGGTTGTTTCAATTAATTTGCATAAGGGTGTAGCTGCCAATCCAGCACTACGCTTAAATTCATAATATTAAGAGAAAACCCTGTCAGAATATTTTTGTGTTTGCTCAACTTTTTTAACCATATAATAACTGTTTCGAATACAAATTACGGTTTATTTAAATATCCTTTCTGTGTAGATCAAGCTTTTCTAATATTACGAGTTACTCTGCATGACGTACCTTATCAAAGGCCTTTGTGCAGTTTATGAAAAGTAGATACTTTATATGTCTTTATGCATTTGTATTTCTTACGTTGATAGCTTTCTGGTCATCGTACCTAACTCCGTTTATTTACTTCGAAGGAGACAGTAGAAAATAGGTGTCCGGATAAGTCAGTATATTTTTAATTGTCAAATTCCCCGAACAGCATCTTGTATACCTTGAGACATTCTAGATACGGTATGTAGTCATTAATCCGATGGTGGGGTTTCCGGTGAGGATCAAGCTTTTTATATAAGTGGATTCATTTATAAGACGCGCTTGCTAATCACTGCGCTATGGTAAGCGTACCCTGATAGAACGTATAAATCTTAGAGAATAGTATTTTTTTTAAAACCGTTAGATAGGTGTAGAGACGTACAGTGTATCAGGCACACTGACAAATCAGCATAAGTAGAGCTGCGTGTTTAACTCCTGTACCGGGAATCAGACTCGGAATTCATAACTGATTAATTTAACGTGTACTCGTTTGCCCCAAATAAAAGTGCTTTCTAGAAAAGTCATGGTGGTGAGAATTTTTCAAACACAGCATTCTGGTATTTATTTAATAAAATCAGGCTGAGTTCATATTTGTCTATATTTCTAAGATGAGGTATCATGTACACTATTTACATTATTCGAACTATTGTCTTCATCTTTGTTGCCATATTTTGGCCGTTGTACGTTCGACCTTCTTCAGGTGGTTGGAATGTCGAACTGAAACCTTTATTTCGCCCGCTGGGGTAAACTGTTCTACTTCCACGTGCCATGTCTAAAGGATGTCAGTTATCAGTTATATCCTGTTAATTCACCTCTCCAAGTTCTCCACTGCCTTGACCAGGTATTGAACTCACAACTGTGTGGATTCTGTTACTGGATATAACCAACGCCTGTATCCACTGTGCCATGTGTTCTTAAGTTCATATTGTTGTATCTGTTCTCTCTACCTCTGAAAGTTATAAGGGTGGCTTGATCCTGAGGATTCCAGTTCTGCGGCAAGAGAGCGGTTGGGGCGTATCCGCGCCAGCGTGACAATGCTCCCAGGTATTGGGCAATTTTTCTACTTGGACCCTATGCACGCGTCTGGGCTCCCTACATTAAAAACGACCGTATGACACATCTTACCCTCGTAGGGGGCTGGGTAAAGTACTGCTTTCGGGCAGGGATCAAAGTGTACCTGCTCTCTCTTTATCTTAAAGTTATTACGTGAGCCTAGACCCAAGGATTCCAGCTCTGCGTTATGGATTGGAGGGGTGTTCGATACTGACACCAGCCTGATAATGGTCGTGCGAATTGGGAAATTTTTGACTTTGGCATATATGTACACGTATGA